GTGTTTATTGACAGGTGAATGAATGTCTACTGACCAGGCACTAGAGGAATTATCTCTTCCCACTCAGACAAATTGTAGTCTTGCTGGCTACCTCATATTCCAAAATAGCATTGCAGCTGAGCACCAGAAATAAAATGGCCCCCAAAATTGTCTTCTATTTTGCTCACCTCTTTCCTCCTTTGGCCTGGGAAGCAGGCACTGAGCAGGTGTGTGAGAGCAAGCTTGTAAAATCAGTAGTGTGTGACACTTATTAGACCAGTCTTAAACATAACAGATTTAGATAATGGCTTTCCCACTTATTTCTTCTATGACTTGGAGAAAAGTATTTCTTCTCTAATGGTTGTAGGCTCTATAAATACATTTTGGGTGGCATTTCCTCCAATGGAATCTCTTATCTCATTGAATCCCCCAAAATACTCAGGCATGAGATTCCCATTTAAAAAAATGGGGAAACAGACATAAACCTATTTAGTGGTGGGGCTTTTTGAGTTTCTGATGTGTACTTTTTCTTCTATACCCTAATCTTCTCCACCTAATTTTTATCACTCATAATAACAGGGTGGTAATGCCTTAGACTTGCCTAAGAGAATATAGATAGATTTTAAGAACTTCTGGCTGTACATGTACAATTAAAAGCAAACAAACAAAAAACCTTTGGATTGAATTCTGCTTGTAAAGAGCATTCAAAGACAAAGAATGAAAAGTACAAATCTATCCTGCACTATTAATACACATTGGTTAAATGAACAAATGAATGAACAATCCTTTTTTGAATGATTACATTTTCTCCTTTTTGAATCAACAACCACTTTGGCATATTAAAGAGAGAAGAGTGAATCATTAGCTTCTCTGTCTTTTCCTAAGCCCCTAGAAGAGCATTTTGAAGATGCCTATTAAAAAGGTCTGGAAAGAGATCCAGAGGGAAATATTAGAGCATTCTTATTTCAGGGCAAATCTCAGGAAATATGAAAATGCTTATTCATTATAACAGCGTTTGTATATTGTAACAACATTATTATAAGAATGTTTACGCACTGTAACATTATTTATACATTACAACAATGCTTGTATATTATAAATAGACACTTGGCATGGGGCAGAACAGAAAGTAGAAGATAATTTAATTGTGCTCCCAAATACTTTTTGAAGTGGCGTCAGGGAAGGGGCTCTCTCCAACTCAGTTTCTCCTCTTACCTTAAGTTTTCTCCCTGCTTGGTAATAGTCTGGTCTACAAAGTCGTGCCCTCGTTTTGTATGCAGAGCCAAATGGTGGGCATCGCTTAGCCGTACTTATGTCTTTTCCTGTTGCATCCTCCAGAGGGCCTCCTTGGCCCTGCATAGCTAAGCGGTGTAGGCGGTGAGCAGTGAGGGCAGGTGCTCACCTGAACCACAGAAGATTCAGATGCATCAACCTTTCCATATAGAAGAGACTGCGGGGAACTTGGCAGGAGGAAACAGGCAGAGAAAGACTTGCTTACAGGCTGCGGTTGAGCTAGTGGAAGGTTCTGGACTAGAACCTGGCTTTCAGTCCCTTCTTTTTCTTTTCTCTTAGGAGGTGGGCTCCCCACCCTCTCCCTCCCCTCTCTTCTTACTCCTACTTCTTGACATGAAACTACACAGTCAACTTAGACTGATGGTCAGCTCCGTGCCTGGCACTGTGTTAAGGACTTTTCTCACATGTGATCCTCACAAAACCCCATGAATCAAGCACCACCATTAATTCCTTTTTACAAATGAAACCAAGGCTTTTAGGGGCCAAAAAACAAACAAAAACACTTGTTAAAATCACATAGCTACAAAAAATGGGAGCAGCAGGATTTGAACCATGTCTGACTCCAAAGCCCGTGTTTCCACCTGTGTTGTCCTTTGAACCAAGTGACTAGAGGCTTGAGCTGCTCCCTGTCATAGTCCAGACGGCTTTGTTCCTGTTACCCTCCTTCCCTCCCCATCCTTTGTCCACCTATATCTTTCTTCGCTCCATCCCTTTTCTCCCTGATTCTCTACGCCCATCCAGTGATGCTGGATTCTTAATTCCTCTGTGCAGAAGGAGGCTGCAGAGGAAATGGGCTGTCTGGGTAGAGTTAAGCTCCTCAGGAGCACAGGATGGCTTCTGTATATTTCTTCATGGGTTTTGTTTTAGATCCCAGGTCAATTATTTCTTTGAGTAGGAACAGTGTATACAATTAAAAATGGAACTCAAAGAACAAATATGCTTTAATTTATAAATGTTAAACTTTTTATTGTGGTAAAATACACATAACATAAAATTTATCATCTTGCCCATCTTTAAATGTACAACACAGGAGTGTTGAGTATATTCACATTGTCGTGAAACGGATCTCCAGAACTTTTTCATCTTGCAAATCTGAAACTCTGTACTTAAATAACAAGTCTCTTTTTCCCCCTATCCCCAGCTTCTGGTAACCATCATTCTACTTTCTCTTTCTATGGATTTGGCTACTTTAGATACTTCATATAAGTAGAATCATACAGTATTTGTCTTTTATGACTGGCTTATTTCACTTAGCATAATGTTCTCAAAGTTTATCCATGTTGGAGCATGTGATTTTAGCATGTGGTTACTTTTCAGCCAGCCCTTCCAGCATGTTAGGGGGTTTGACTCAGCAGGGGGGGGTTGATTCATTTAAGTCCCACAAAGGTTTATTGTGATGGAAGTGGACGAATGTGGACTACAGAGCCAGGTTCCAATTCAGGTTCTGCCAGTTACTGGCTGTGTATCCTGGGCAAGCTGCTTAATTTATACAGAGCTTAGTTTCCTTACCTGTAAAATGGGGTAATAGTATAAGCCTCATAGAGTGGTTGGGTGGATGCAATGAGACAATACATGTAAAGCATTCAGCCCAGTGGCTGGCGCATGGTATGCCCTTAACACATGCAGCTAATTATTGTTAGTGTGATTGTTATTATCTACTTGGTAAACAGTGAATTATGGTGTTATTACTAGCTGTATATATCAGCACAATACCAGGGATACAGAAGGGATTAAGATATGGTCTCTGTCCCTGAGGAGCTCATGTTCTGTGGGACAGAAGAGCTCATTGTGTGTCTCATTGTCCCCAGTATGTCTTTCAGAAGCCTGGGACATGTGCTGACCTGAGCTGCTACTTTTGGGTGCTACTCCTAGTCTCCTTAGCTTCTTACAGAAGACAGCCATATGCTTAAGTCATCTTGACAAAGGACAGTAGCCCAAGGGTAGCTTGGTTTTCATTCCCTGACTCAAATCTCATCTGAGATGAAATACCAGTGTCCTTAGAGGAGAGAGAGCAAACCAATGAGCAACCCTGATGTCTGGGTCCTACCCAGTGATCATGATCCTGGCCAGACAGTAGGCCAGGTCTGCCTGCCATTGGTGGCAAACAAAAGGCTTTAGTAGGTGATGCCCAAAGCATTAAGTAAAGGCAGGATGTAATACAGCCGGAAAGGGACAGATTTGAACTTGATAGATGCAAGTGTTCAAGAGAGCCTCCTCCTCCTCCTTGGGGAACAAATGGTAGAGGACTAGTTGTGTTTATAGAGAAAGCACTTGTCTTTTTTCCTCTTCATTGAAAATGGAGTAGAAAGAATACTACCCTTAGAGTCAGGAGAGTTGGATTCAAGCACCAGATTTAACACTGGTGAGCTGAGTGCCCATGGTCAAGACACAAACTCTTGGGACCTCAGTTTCCCCACCTGTAAAAAGAGAATAATGGCACATTCTTTGGAGAAGTTGTTTTGAAGTTAAATGAGATCATGTATGTAGAAGCATCTAGCACAGTGTTTTGCATGGGATCAGTGTTCAGTAAATGTATGGACAATCCAGATCTGGATGCTTGTTCAGTGACTAGTCTTTAAAATAATTTTTATTGTTAATTGTGGTAAAATACATATAACATAAAACTTACTATCTTAACCCTTTTTTGAAAAACTGTGTTGAGCTTTTATTCTAGTAACTGGAGCAAAAAGGATACAGGAAATTGCATTACAACTTAATGAGTGAGATAATTATAAGAGCCAAGTTCTATGAGAACCCATCTTAACCACTTGGATAATGTTACTACGTCCATATATGTTGTGCCAATTTCCAGTAATTTTTAATCTTGTGAAACTAAGACTCTATACCCGTTAAACAGTAAGTTTGTATGTTCTTCCCTCCCTGCCCCCAGCCCCCTGACAACTCTGTTTCTATGAGTTTTACTACTTTACATACCTCATATAAGTGAAATCATACAGTATTTGTCTTTTTGTGACTGGCTTATCTCACTTGCCATAATGTCCTCAAGATTCATCCATGATGTAGCATGTGTCAGAATTTTCTTCCTTTTTAAGGTTGAGTAATATTCCCTTGTATGTACCACCTTCTGTTTATCCATTCATAAATGTCACTGGACACTTGGGTTGCTTCCACCTCTTGGCTATTGAGAATAACACTGCTATGAACACAGGTGTGCAGATATATCTTTGAGACCTTACTTTTAATTGTGTTGTATATATATGCAGAAGCGGCATTGCTGGATCATGTGGTAATTCTGCATTTAATTATTTGGGGAACCATCACACTGTTTTCCACAGCTGCTGTACCATTTTACATTCCCACCAACAGTGCACAGTGGTTCCAGTTTCTCCCCAGCTTTTCCAGCATTTGCTATTTTCTGGGGTTTTTTTTTGGGGGGGGGGCGTTGTTTTGTTTTTGTATTTCTACTATCCCTATGTTGATTTCTGGTCATTTGATAAATCAGTTGCTTCTTCTATTACCCTGGAGTGGACTTTGATGGGGACGATATCTTCCTCTTTTTCCATGTTCCTCAAGTGACTCTCCTTCTGTCAATGAAGTCAGATATGCCATGGACCACCTGCATGGTAATCGCGGATGTCACTGTGGCAGGAAGCCATCCATGCACTAGAAGAAGCTGTGATGGTGGCTGTTGTGGACCACCTCCATGGAGGCTGTGTGAGGATCTCCCCCAGTAGTGGCAGGATTAGGTTTCTGCCTTCTCTGCAGGCAGGGCAGGGCAGCAGCAGCCAGTGCCCAGGTTTTCTGCCTGCCTGGGGCCTCTCCAGTGTCTGTGGCCTATAGTCAAGTTTTTGAATGCTTATTCTGTGCCAGGCACTATGGTTGGAGTAGGGGACTACGGAGATAAATAAAATGTCTTTCCTGCCCTGGAGTCACTCACAGTCTTGTGGTTACTAATCCAGTGTTCCTGCAAATGTGAATACTTGCATTAACATCATCTGGGATGCCTGTTAAAAATACTAATTCCTGGCACTCTCTCTAGACTTCTCAATCAGGAGCTCTATTTTTTTTTTTTTAAAAAAAACAAGCCTCCAAGGGTTTTTTTTCTTGCACACCATTGGGGTAGGTCGATAGTTCTCAATTTGGCTGCACATTAAAATCTATGTCTGGGCCTCTTCCAGGGGTTCTGATTTAACTGGTCTGGGGTGGGCTCCCATAATTTATTTTAGAGCTTCCCAGGTGATTCAAATATGTACAGCCAAGGTGGAGAAACATTGGACTAGATTATTTCTAAATTCTTTCCAGCTGTAAAATTCTGCCATCAGCAGCATATTTTAGTTCAGCAAATGTTTATTGACTTGTCTCCTCTATGCAAGGCTCTGGGTGAGCTGGGGTCTGAGGGTCAAGAGCAGACTGGACTCAAATAAAAAGGCTTGAGTTTGTGTCCTTATCCATTCCTACTGACTACCAGGATAACCTTGGGGCCGTCTTCAAACCAAGAGATGATGGGATCATAGAAGCTTAATGAAGAAAGTCTTTAAAGAAGGTGGGAGCGGTTAACCTTGTCAAATGCTGCTGAGGAGGTGTGAGGGACGAAGACCGAGAATGAACTATTGGATTTGACGGTGGGGTCACTGATGACCTTGATGAGAGGGGCGTTAGTGGAAGGAGATGGAGCCCTGAGTGGAGTGGACTGGAGATGAGAAGTGTGGAGCAGAACAGTGACTGTGCACAAGAGCCGGGAAGTCTGGGGCAGGGGGCGCAGAGAAACGTGGCCGCTGGGGAAGTACAGTGGATCCGTTGTTTTTACTGTTTTTGTTTGTGTGTTTGTTTTTAAATTAGCGTTTCCTCCACTACTGCTACTAACAGTTATCAAAAAAGCATTTAGTAAGAAACCAATTGAGCAGGCACTGTCAAGCAGGGTCTTGACACAACCCTTGAGTGTCAGGGAACACATTTTGAGGGGCTCACCTTATTGTGGCTTTTGTTTTTTAAATATGAAGTTACTTCCAAAAAGTTCATGGAAAAATAGAATTAAAAGGTACTATGAATCTTTCCATGAACTTTTCGAAGTACCCTTGTCTGAAAGTCAAATTGCTCTGATGGCAGCTAACTCAGAGAGCTCATCAAAAGATCAAACTCAATGTCAGTTTTTTCCAGACTGCAAAAGCGTTTGTGTGCACGCTCGGGGAGGGCAGGTGATGGTAGCTCCATTTTAGAGATGAGGAGGCCACATGCAGACGGTCACTGACACGCGAAGGTTGCCCTGGTGAATTAGTGGCGGAATCAGAAGCGGGAGCAGGATCTTCTGACCCCGGGTGTGGGAAGAGCACACGTGCAGATTCCGTTCTCGTGCTCTGAGAGCGACCCAGCCGGGAATGTTTGCTGCTGCTGCTGCTGGGCTGATTGATCCCTTGGCATAAATTTGCACACCTGGGTGCTCTCACGCCAGCACCAGGCTGAGGGTTTTGTCCTGAACCTGAAAAATGGATTGGAGTTCCTGGTTGTACCTTTAGAGGTTCTGTTGATACCAATTTCCGGGCCAGGAGGAAGGTAATCTTTTCCCTCTCTGACATTCCTCCCTCCTGTGAATGTTTAAACTTCTTTCTGTCTGGGTTGTCAAGCTGTCTGGGGAGGAGAGAGGAAGCATAACTTACCCCACCAGGCCAAGCACATTGCTGTGGGCTGAATGTTTGTGTCCCCAGCCAATTCATATGTTGAATCCCTAATCCCAATGTGATAGTATTAGGAGGTGGGGCCTTTGAGAGGTGATTATGTTTGAATGAGATCGTATGGGTAGAGCTCTGGCAATGTGATAGAATCCTCACCAGAATCCCACCATGCTGACACCTTGATCTGGGACTTCCAGGCTCCAGAACTGTGAAAAATAAATGCCTGTTGTTTAAACCACCCACTCTATGGTATTTTTGCTACAGCAGCCCAGACTAAGTCACACTTGGTGTGTCAAAACCCCGGGAGGTTGAGGACACTTTCAGATCAGCCCTGGGCCATAGCTAGTGTGGGAATAGGCCTCAAAGGCACTGCATGCTTGGACCTGAGGCGCTGCTGGGGCTGGAACTGTCAGCAAATAGCCTTTGTCCCCTCGGAATGAGATCCGGGCCATGACAGAGGTGGGTCGCTGCACTAGTCTCTTCTGATGTCCGGTGGCTTCCCTTAATTTCCCTTCTTGCCTTCAGAAAAGTCTTAAAGTGAAGTATCTTCATTTTCAGTAGAATTCCAAGGCACTGCATGCTTGGACCTGAGGCGCTGCTGGGGCTGGAACTGTCAGCAAATAGCCTTTGTCCCCTCGGAATGAGATCCGGGCCACGACAGAGGTGGGTCGCTGCACTAGTCTCTTCTGATGTCCGGTGGCTTCCCTGAATTTCCCTTCTTGCCTTCAGAAAAGTCTTAAAGTGAAGTATCTTCATTTTCAGTAGAATTCACTTCAATGTTCTCTAGTATGCCCGGCACTATATTAGGTGCTTAGGATACAAACGTGAATAAGGCCCATTTCCTGTTCTCAAGAAACTCAAGGTTTAGGTAGAGCCACACACAGCTAACTATATAGTACAGTGTGAACTGCTGCAAAAATAGATGTGTTTCGCACAGTTTCGAGTAGAAAGGTAGGCCTGACATCCCACAGTGTTGGAGTGTAAAAAGATGCCATGAGTTTCTAAGAAGGGAATATAAAATTTTGAGTAGAGCCACATGGCCATTTTTTGTGTTTTCGGGTGGTTCTGGAGGTTGTGTTTAGTGTACTTTCAGCAGGGAGAGTCTAGAGGCCAGCAGATGAGTTATAGAGTTATCGCCATCACTTAGAGGAAAGACAACAAGGACTTGGAGCCTTTGGGGTGGGGGATATAAAAAAGAGGGGAATTTGCAAGATTTTCAGCAGGCGAATTACTTGGTCTTGGCAATTGTGTGGGAAGATATAAAGATGACTGAGGTTTCTAGCCCAGGATGCTGGGAGATGGTGGCACCATCAACTGGGACAGAGCGTTGGGAATGGGGAGCTTGTGTGGGGATTAGGTAGGAGGGGACAAGACTGCAGGCTGTGATACTGAGGATAACAAATGAGGGAGGTCAGGACGTGGGTGGGAATAGGTGCAGACGGACCGAGGACGAGGAGCCTGCGGGGAGGTGGGGGCGGTTACAGGATTGAAATCCATAACATGTATAAACAGTGCTCACGAGTACTCAGTTAACAAGGCATGCTCTGTAGTGGAGGAAAGACACTGTCATTTTTTCCAGTTGGAATCTTTTTTCCTCTTTATCATCACTTTGAGGGTAGTATTTCTAAGAACTTAGTTAAGATTCGGGGAATTTAGTTTACTTATAGGAAATCAAAGCCCTACTAGTGAACTAAAGGGAGGGAGAACCTTTTGAAAGAAAGTGGTGCCCTAGCTCAAGGCATTGTGACCACAGGCACCTGCACTGCAGGGTGGAATTGAATAATGGCTGTGTCTGTACACCAGAAAAGCATTCTGTTTTGGCTAGACTGTGGTAGCGTCTTTAATATGACTCTAAAAACCACAATACTGACTCTAAAAACCGCAATACTGTTGTAAGCAGCATGCTTTATCTCAGACAGGGAAGAATCCAGTTAGGAATCACCACTTGATTTTTGAACACTTAAATTCCATCCTAGACTCTTTTAAGTAGTTCCTGAAACTTTGAGCAGGCTGCATGGATACAGAACCTAATATCACTCAGAATAATCTAACATCTTGCTACACAAAGCGTGGTCCCTGAGCCAGCAGCCTTGGCATCGCCTGAGAGCCTGTTAGAACTGCAGAATCCACTGAAATAGAATGAGCATTTTAACAAGATCCGCACTGATTCATATGCACACGAAAGTTTGAGACGTGTTGGTATGGCACTGTGGATTCCAAATATGGTTTTGCTTTGGATTCATTTAGGTAACTTTGAAATAATGCAGCTTTCCAAGCCTCAACCCCAGACATTCTTATTTAATCAGGTGATTCTTTTGGGTAGCTAGGTTTGGAAACCACTGGCTTGTATAAATTCAAAAATCTCTCTTGGTAGACAAATGGCAAGAATTTAAAAAAATACTTCAAGCTTCACATCTGTTTTCTTTATAGGCACAACAATGACCAGAGCCTCATGCTCTTTAAAAAAAAAAAAAAAAAAAGGCATCTAGATTGGCATTAAGCAGCCTTGTCCCCTAACTCTCAGGACATCTTAATGCATGATAAGAAGGGACATGTGCTTCCCTCCCCTGTTGCAGCAACCATTCACACATTGGCAAAAATTGAATGGGCTTGGCCAAGTCACTGCCCAATTTGAAAGCAGCTAACGTCAGCTGATGTTTACCAAGCACTCCGTGGATGAAAATAATTACCCAAGAACCGAACAATGTGATCTCCATTAGTTGCACAGTTTGTCTCTGTAGAAGGTCACGGCTAGAAGGGTCCTTTCAGAATGCTCCTCCAAGCTCTCGCTTTACAGATAAAGAAAAAGAATCCATGGAGAGCTTGGAACCTGAATTCCAGCTGGCTTCATCCAAAAGGAAAGGATTTTTTGTTGTTTGGAAAACGGACCACATATTTGTTGGCTAATCAGAGGCACAAAATGAGCAAGCTTTGTATTCCATATTTAATATCAAGCATTGGGAACAGTGCTGTAAACACAAAAAGATCTGGTTCCTAATGATCACTCAGGATCATAAGACACATGGAGTGCAGATGTCCTAGGAATTCAACAAGTGAGTTC